AATCCCTTTCTCCTGTTTGTTTATTCATTAAGTTATTTATATATATGTAAGTATGGACTCATGGACTTTTTTCATTATGTGATTTAGAATTCAATACTATTGTCATTTTTCTTGTTGCTTACATTTTTCAGCTTTGGTTATTGGGAGCTTTTTCCAGTTGGTTCCTGTGCCCTTTGACATGCCTTTCTTGAGCACTAATTTACTCTCTGGTACTACGAGATAATCTGGTCTCATGTTGTTTTTCTCTGTCTCAGCCTTTTAATCAGCTGCTACTCTAAGAAAGCCTGGGTCTCTTTAATGGAGAATGATATTTAGAAACAAAGATCTTGGTGCCATGTGTGCTCATTGTATTGGGATGTCATTGCTCCCCAACCTTCTTATTGGACAGAGCTGGAAATATATGTATACTAATCCATGTATTCATACAGGTTCATAGTTTTATCTGTATCTATCTATAAATATATATGTGTCCATATTTTTATGTATGTATGTGTGTATGTATGTGTATGTGTGTATGTATCTATACATTCAATCAAATACTCTTTTCCAAAGTTATGTGTATATTCTTGATTTATAATACAGTTAGCTTTATTTTTTAAGGTTTATATTTCATTTTGCAATCTCCTCCCCCTTGGTTGAATTTTTAAAAATAATTACTTAGAATTCATTTTTATGTCATATATTTCTTTGGGTTTTGACAAATGCATAGATGTGGTTCTATCATCACAGTCATGAGAGAGAATACTTCAGTCATCCCTCATGCTTAACATTTTGGAAGAAAATATTAAAAGTGGTTTGGTGCTTACAGTGCATAGGAAAATTTTACCAGTGGATTTTACTGGTGTTTGGTTTGAATAATCACATTAAGAGCGAAACTTGTTTAATTAATAAAGCAGTTAGGATATTAGAACAGGAGGGAGACTTCTTAATGGCACCATCATTTGTTATTCATTGTGGCTCCAGAACATGGATTTGTTTTTTCAGATTTTAAAGAATTGAGATTTTTAATATAATAGAGATTTTTTAAATAAAAGTAATTCACAAGATATAATCAAATAGATATTTTTAAAACATTACTTTTCTTATTGGCTCTATGTTCACCCTGTAAGCAAAAAGAAGATAATTTAGAAGTGATAAAATCTAATCCTAGTGCTATTTTAATTTGTTAGTATGGAAAGGGTTTTATTACATATATCTAAATCTCTTCTATCTAATAAATTACATTTGTGAGTAGATGAAAGATAAAGGACATGAGATAACTAGTAAAAGATGTAGAACTGATATGTAGAATTGTGGAAAAATGTTCCATTTTGCCAGAAAATAACAGTGCAGATTAAAACAATGAGAGGGCGCCTGGGTGGCTCAGTTGGTTAAGCGACTGCCTTCGGCTCAGGTCATGATCCTGGAGTCCCTGGATCGAGTCCCGCATCGGGCTCCCTGCTCAGCAGGGAGTCTGCTTCTCCCTCTGACCCTCCCCCCATCTCATGTGCTTTCTCTCTCATTCTCTCTGTCTCTCAAATAAATAAATAAAAATCTTAAAAAAAAAATAAAAAATAAAAAAATAAAAAAAATAAAACAATGAGAAACCATTTTAGTTATTGAGAGATTTAGTTATTTAGTTATATGAGTGAGAATGAATACCCTAGTCTGGTGAAGGTGTTGTGAAACTCACTCAAATACATGAGTACATAGCAGGTAACATTAGCATTTCACACCAATACCATACTTTTAAGCATGGTAACTACAAAAATACTGATACAGTTGACCCTTGAACAACAGAAGAGTTAGGGGTGCTGACCCCCACACAGCTGAAAATCCAAGTACAACTTTTGAGTCTAACTACTGTATAGAATACAAACAGCATACAAAGTATGTGTTAATTTTGACTACTGATGTCATAGGTAAGGCTTGCAGTCAACAAAGGTCAAGTAACACTTACTTTGTATGTTGTTTGTATTCTATACTGTATTTTCACAATAATACATAACTTTTTTCTTAATTTTTTTCAGTATTTCTAAGCCACTCATTTTGCAAGTTTTCCAAATTGTCTCTCCAAAATATTTCCCATATATTTATTGAAAAAAATCCTATTTATAAGTGGACACATGCAGTTTAAAACCTGTACTGTTCAAGGGTCAACTGTAGTCTGTCAGGCTGATGCACACTTGTGGGACTGGTGGGTATTTTCTTTTTTAAAAAATATTTTCACTCATATGTGGAACATAAGGAACAGCATGGAGGACATTAGGAGAAGGAAGGGAAGAATGAAGGGGGGGAAATCGGAGGGGGAGACGAACCATGAGAGACGATGGACTCTGAGAAACAAACTGAGCGTTCTAGAGGGGAGGGGGGTGGGGGATGGGTTAGCCTGGTGATGGATATTAAGGAGGGCACGTACTGCATGGAGCATTGGGTGTTATACGCAAACAATGAATCATGGAACACTACATCAAAAACTAATGATGTAATATATGGTGATTAACATAACAATAAAAATGTGTGTATGTATAAAATGGAATCATTTATATGTTGAATTTAAAAAAGAATTCAAATAATAGAATCAAATAGAAAAGTGGTTGCCGAGGGCTGGGGCACATACAAGGGTTGTGGGGGGGGGACAAGGAAAGGTCGGTAAGTGGGGACAGACTTTCAGACATAAGATGAATAAGGTCTGAGGATCTACTGTGTAACATGGTGACTATAGTTAATACTGTATTGTGTAGTTGAAATTTTCTGAGAGTAGGATTTAAGTGTTCTCACACACACACAGCACACACACCGAAGACAAAAAGGTATTCTATGTGAGGTGATGGATGTGATAATTAACTAGACGGAGGGAACCCTTTCACAATGTATATGTATATCCAATCATCATGTTATAAAATTTAAATATTTTACAGTTGGGTCAGTTATACTTGGTTACTTATACTTGATTGAATATACAGTAATATAAGTAAAGCTAGAAAAAAATAAACCTTGTTGAGAAAAAAAGTCTTATTTCTGACTCAGGATTCTTGTTTTTGCCAGCATCCATGAAACTGGCTTGCTTCCTCGATAACTCAAAAAGTAGAGGTAGAGCAAAATTCCTCTGCCTTTCACAGTTATTTAATGCCTTGAAAGATACATATTGGTGTAATGATGTGACTTTTTTAAAAACAAGAACAAAGAGAGTAAGATTACTTTAGAAATACAGAATTTAAAAGGAAAGTGTGTGTTTGTATTTGTATTTATTGTATTTATTGAGAAAAGTATATGAAAATACCCTAGGAACTTGCAGGTAAGTATCTGTTTTTTAGACCACTTCCCTTCTGCCCTCATGAGGGTTTATTTATCTCGCTCAATTTCCAGTCTGGAGGTTCTGTCTCTACATAGAGGGTCACAGTCCTTCTTATAAATAAAATATTTATACAGTATATATTTTATTATTTTAAAATTATTTCAGAAGAATTTATAGATCCTGAATTAACTCACTGAGTGTTAGGGTAAACAATTGAAGATTTTAAAATAGTAAGACAAACACTAGTAAATTATGCTTAACATGGAAAAATACTTTCACTATTTCTCAGAATTCAAACCAAGAAAAGTTAGTAAAAGTCCTTCTGCTTAGGTTTTAGCTATTTTGTGTGTATTGATGAAGCAGAGCAGTATCTTCTAAAATAAGCTTTAATTTTCAGTTTAACAAGAGTATTGTTTTGTTTTGTATGGAAATATATTCATATTATATTTGCTGTCAGAATTAAAGGCCCAAAGTCAAATATAATCAAATCCAAATAATTTGTTTTGACATTAGAATGAATTTCAGTGAATACCTTTTGTTAAGGTAAAATTTTGTGTTGTTTTTTTTTTTGTAACAATTATGCCAGTAATTAGCTATAATACTTCTTTTTTATACCGTCAGTCTGCCATTGTGCACTTACCTCAATGTTCCGTCCCATTACTAATTAAGCATGTTGCTCTTTGACCAAGCTACTGCCCCTCTGTCCCTCCTCTCTTTCATTTCTTTTGATTTATCTTTTCTCTTCCTCAAGTAGGTGCAGAGCAATTCACCAAGTCTTTTGCCCTAACCCAGGAAAGAGGTCTGCTTCTCCTCTCTCCTTCTCCTCCTCTTTTTTTTTTTTTTTAAAGCTATGGGTTATAATCGATATACAAAACATTGAACACATTTGATATATGTATCAGTGAGTTTGACATATGTACACATCTGTGATTCCGTTACCACAATCAAAGTACTAAACACCTACATCACCTTTAAAAATTTTCTTTTCTTTGCATGTGTGTATAGGTTGTGGTACAAACACTTAACATGAAATCTGTCCTTTTTAACATTTTAAAGGTCACAATACTCTACTGTTAACTATAGATACTATGTCACAGGGAATCTCTAGAACTTACTTATCCTGCACAGCCGAAACTTTATATCCATTGAGTAACAATTATCCATTTCCCCCTCCCCTAACCCCTGGCAACAAACATTCTTATCTCTGCTTCTAATGAGTTTGACTATTTTTGATACCTCATACAAGTGGAATCATGCCATATTTGTCCTTAGGTGACTGGCTTATTTCACTTAGCATAATATCCTCTGTGTTTATCTGTGTTGTTGCAAGTAGGGTTTCCTTCTTCTTCTTTTTTTTTTTTTTAACACTGGACATCCTTTTTCAGAGCCTCCTTCTGTTTGTTTTTTTTTTATATAATGGCCAGAGTTTTTTGTTGTATTTAGTGAGAGGATTAGGAAAAAGCATGTCTGTTTCATCTTTATGGAAGTGGTAGACTGTTTTTGCTTTTGTTACTGTTGTATAAACCTTTGTGATCATTAGGAAAAATAAAATGAAATATTTTATGCATACATAGTCAATTAATAATGAATACACTCACCAAAAGGACTTTTAGCAGAAATTAGTTTTGGTTAAGACACAATTTCATGTAATTCAGTTTATATGAAATACAAAGTGAAGAACTTTAACTCTGTGTTAAATTTAAATTCCTATGTTTAATTGCAGAATCTTTTAGCTGAAAAAGTAGAACAACTGATGGAATGGAGTTCCAGGCGCTCAATCTTCCGAATGAATGGTGATAAATTCCGAAAATTTATAAAGGCACCACCTCGAAACTATTCTATGATCGTTATGTTCACTGCTCTTCAGCCTCAGCGGCAATGTTCTGTGTGCAGGTAATTTATGTATTCTAAAAATATTTTAAATTATTATCATATGCTTGTATATTTATTACATATATATAAATCTGTATAATAGAATTCAACAGCTGTTCAAGGTTATAGTCAGCTATAAATGTGGATTTAAAAGTAAACTCAAAATCAGGGGCGCATGCGTGGCTCAGTTGGTTAAGTGTCTGACTCGGTTTTGGCTCAGGTTGTGATCTCATGGGTCCTGAGGTTGAGCCGCAGGTCAGGCTCTGCTCTCAGTGCAGAGTCCGCTTGAGATTCTCTCTCCCTCTGCCCCTCACCCTGCTAGTGAGCATGCGCGCGCCCTCTCTCTCTCTCTCTCTCTCTCTCAAATAAATCTTTGAAAAATATAAGCAAGCTCAAAATCAGTGTATTTTAGAAAATAATTTGATAGGCTAATATTTTATTGTGTAAAATACTTATTGATCAATCCATTTGTAATCATAAAACAAATTTGCTTCTTTATGTCCTGTATGAAGGTAAATATGTGATAGAATTTGGTTTGAATATTGCCTTGTAGGTCACCTAATTATGTTTTATGGGCAATGAAGTCATCTCCTTAAACATATTCTATTTTAATAGTTTAATAGAGAGGACACACTTTTACCTACAAAAGTCCATTTACTTTTCATTACCTCAATGATTAGAAATTTCTCCCAATGATACAGAAGTACATCATTTCAAATGAATGAAATATTTTTTTTAGTGGGAATGTACTAAAGAAAATTTTGGACAAGTACAAATACATATGCAGCAACGCTTTAAAAAATTTCTGTTTTTGAAATAATTGTAGATTTACATGCAATTGTAAGAAATAATACAGAGAGACCCTGCATACCTTTTATTCAGTGTCCCCCAGTGGTAACATCTTGCAAAACTATAGTATAATATCACAAGCAGGGTATTGGTATTGATATCGTGAAGATACAAAACAGTTCCATCACCATAAGAATCTCTCCTCTTGCCCTTTATAGCCACACCCACCCACCCATTCCCATTCCACTCCCACATCCTGAATTTGTGCTCCATTGTGTTGTTCCAGTAATGTGATGTGAATGGAATCCTACCCTTAAAGATCTTTTGGGTTTTGCTTTTAATAACTTAACATAATTCCCTCAAAATCCATCCAAGTTACTGCATTTGTCACCATTCTTTTTATTACTGTGTAACATTTCATGGTATGAATGTACTGCCATTTGTTCAGCCATCCGTTACAGAACATCTGGGTTGTTTCTAATTTTTGACTATTACAAATACAACTGTTGTGAACATTCTGGTACAGGTTTTTCTATGAACTTAAGGTTTTATTTCTCCATGATGGCTAGGTTGTTTGGTAGTTGCATGTTTAGCTTTGTAAGGAACTGCCAAAATGTTTTCCAGAGTAGCTGTATTATTTTACATTTCCTGTAGCAGTGTATGAGTGGTCTAGGTTATCCATATCCTTATCAGCATTTGTCACTATTTTACTTTACTCAGTTTGCTAAGTATGTAGTGATAACTCATTATGGTTTTATTTTGCATTTTCCTAATGGCAGTGGTGTTGAAAATCTTTTCATGTGTTTGTTATCTGTATATCACATTTTTGATGAACTATCTGTTCATGTCTTTTGCCCATTTCTAATCAGATTTTTTACTGAGTTTTGAGAGTTCTTTATGTATTGTAGATACTAGTCCTTTGTCAGACATGTAGTTTTCAAATATTTTCTCCTAGTCTATAGTATATCTTTTCATGTTCATGACTGATCTTTTGCATATTTTAATTTATGAGGCCAGTTTACCAGTTTCCTATTTTGTAGCCTACTTTTGTTATCCAGTTGAACTCTTTGCCTAGCCCTGTATCCCAAAGTTTTTCTCTAATTTTTTTTTTTCTGAAAGTTTTATAGTTTTTTGTTTTACATTTTCATCTGATCTTTGGAAGAAAGTATTTAATCATTAATGATGGTACTAGCTGTAAGATTTTTGAAGATGTTCTTTATCAAGTTAAGGACGTTCTCTACTAGTTTGATGAGAGTTTTGATCATGAATGGGTGTTGGATTTTATCAGTTTTTTTTGGTGTGAATTGATATGATTTTTCACCCTTAGGTGCTTGGTATAGTGCTTTATAGTAATGGATTTTTGTATATTGAACCAGCCTTGCATTTTGGAATATATCCTACTTGATTATGGTATATTACTCCTTTTATGTATTACTGGATTCTGTTTACTAATAAAAGTCTATTAGAAATTTGCATCTAAGTTCATGATAGCTATTTATCTGTACTTTTCATTTTTTATACTGCTTTTTGTCTAGTTTGGTATTAGGCTAATACTGGCCTCATAAAATGAGTTGAGAAATGTTCCCTCCTCATTTACTTTTTAGAAGAGATTGTGTAAGATTAAATAATTTTACAAGATTGTGTAAATTCTTTAAGTATTTGATGGAATTCTTCAGTGAAACCATCTGGGCCTCATGATTTTAAATTACATATTTCATTTCCTCAATGGCTAAGGACAATTCAGGGTGTCTCTTTTTGGCTGAACACTTTTTCAAGAACACTTTTTATGTGGTGATTCCACTTAGTGACTCTCCACATTGCATAGTCATTTGTAGACTTTTAGAATTTAAATCATTTTGAATTCTAGTGGAAACAAGTTATTAATAACATGGGTCAATGAAAAAAAAAGTTTCAGACTAGTTTGCAGAAAGGGAATTTCAGTGTCTCAACATTTTCTAGAAGATCTTATGATTTAATAATGACTGTTGACTGTATGTTGGGGGCATGTCTAAAAGTGGGTAGAGAAGATGGTGAGCAAAAGTATTTTGAGGGGCTCCTGGGTGGCTCAGTTAAGTGTCTGCCTTTGGCTCAGGTCATGGTCCCAGGACCCTGGGATCAAGCCCTGCAGTAGGCTCCCTGCTCAGCAGGGAGTCTTCTCCCTCTGCCCCTCCGCCTACTTGTGCTTTCTCTCTCTTGCTGTCTCTCAAATAAATACAAATAAAATCTTAAAAAAAAAAAGTGTATTTGAAAAACAGCGTTGTAGATGATTCTGGATTCTCCTTTCATCTTATATAAGGGACAGTATGCAAGTTGGCATTAAAAGTGTTGTCAGAATTGGGCTAGCACATTTGGATGAGTCTATATACTCAGACTGTCCTACTCAGACAAAAACACCACCTTAATTGGCATTTTGGTGTAACAGTTAAGTTTCCACTAAAAATACGTGTCTTCTGGCATCCTCTAACACCATATATATTTTAGGAAAATCATTTGCTCTTAAAAATTGAATATATTGCTTTCTTATATTTGCCACTATTAGGAAGTATATTTAATTGATCATTATATTTTTTGTAGCTGTAAACTAGAAAGACTTTATTACCCAAGTATTTACTTCATAGTTATATAAAATTGTATGTATTGTGATGATACAAACTATAATGTACTGTTAAATGTTGTATCCTTTAGGTATTATTTTACTTAATGCATTATGTCATTAAATGAATTGCTGAACATGGAGCCTTAATTTTTTTAATGACACATAGGTCAAAATAACCTGTTTTTTACAGCCTATTTTGTAATAAACTTGAAAATTTTAGAAAAGTTTTGGATTTATAAGAGAAAAAGGTTGAAGTTATTAGAAAGTTAAAATAATAACTTTAGAGAAGAAAAAGTAGATTAAACTTTAGAAGCAAATAAAAAGTAAAGAGCAGACATGGTTCCCATACCCAGAATTCTTCTCCCTCCCCTGCATCAGTATTCTGACTTAATTGTTTTTGGGTAGGGCCAAGACATTGACATTTTAAAAAGTAAGATCTCTAGGTAATTCTAGTGTGCACCCAGTATAGAGAAAGAGAAGGTAATAAAAGCAGGTACGTGATTCATAGCTTTTATTTATTTACTTTTCATTGAGCAGTGGGAATGGGAAGGTTTAACTAATTGGATGACCATATAGCATTGAGAATCCTTTTGAAACTATAATACCCAAATTCTTAGTGAAGAATCTGTAGAATTTAATGATTTTCTTCCCCAGTACTTAGCAACGGAGGAGAAAGAACACTCTGCTTAGAGGTTAATATGTTTGGTTTATGGTGTGAAGTGGATTAGGTAAATGATTTTAGGTGCTAGTGAGAGTATATTTGAAAGATATAACTGTGGGTCCAGAATTGGCTGGGGGTTAGAGGACGCCGGGGATAGCTGATAAACTAGATGTGATATAATAAAGCTAAATTTTTCGTGAGAGTGAAAAACAGGTTTTGTGTAAAAGTAAGGTGGAATTGAAAGGAAGTAGTTATAAAAGGCTTTTTTAAATAACTAAATTGCTGAAGTATAATGTAGATGATTGTTGATCTTGTAGAGACATTTGAGGAACTATAAGGCTGTGGTGATGTCTGGTTTATAAACATGTATTTGAAATTACTCAGGATGATAAGGGAACTGGAGAGGAAAAAAAATTAAGTGAGCTGATAGAGGGATACCTTGGACTTTATTAGATGAGGATGATAAATTTATTCTATAGGATAAGTAAATCTCAAAGAAAGATCTGTTAAATAATTGTGGTGGAGCAGTGGTCTGTGATCTATTATTGAGCCAAGAGAGTATTTTTTTCATATGATAGTGTATTTCATATGATAGTGGGCAGTGTGGATCAAACAGATCCCAAGGTGACAACTATGATGAAATATAGAGAGGAGTTTCCAGAAAAATTTTCAAGAAAAATTATTCAAACTTTATTTCTTTATTACAAATTAAGCCTCAAGGGGAGATGCAGATTCCCTGAGAAAGGCAACCAACCCATCATCAGTAGCCTTCTTTTTTTTTTTTTTTTAACATGAATTAAATTTTCCTGGATCCTTCTGTGTCATTAGAATTTTGGACCATTTTTATAGTACTGCTATAAATTTTTATAATTCTACAGAATCATTGAAAAGTTCATAGCTATAATTTTTTTCATAGCTATAATTTAAAACTCTTAGTGCTTCCCTCTGTGAGATGGAGATGTTTTTTGCTTTTCT